GGGCAGCGCCGCGCCGAGCGGCGCCGAGCGGAGCCGAGCGGAGCCGAGCGCAGCGGCGCGGAGCCGAGAGGAGCCGAGCGGCGCCGAGCGGAGCCGAGCGGAGGGCGGGCAGAGCCGGCGCCCGCGGCATGCTGGGAGTTGTAGTGCGGAGGTGGCCTTGGCCGTTGGAAACGCTGTTGACCAAATGCCCAATAAATGGAACGGCCATTGCGTACCAACCTTCACTGACGTGTCCGGCCAGTGCTCTCCCTAAAATAATTAGTTAGGATTTAGTTGAATGATTAGTTAAGATTTAGAAATAAAATGTCGGGAAAAGAAAAAAAAGAAAAGAAAAGAGAGCTGAAGAGCTGAAGATACCTGCTGCAGATGGATATAGTGTTACTGAGGGGAGGCGCTGGGGAGGGCAARGAGGAAGGGGGGCGCTCCAAACTGCTATGCTAGACACCAAAAAGTCTTTCTCTTGAAGACTGTTACTGATTTGACCTGAAGGACCCATCACAGAAGACTCAGGTCTCTGTGGTGATAACTGCCAAAAATGCGAAAATTGCTGGTCAGGACACAGCAATATCAGGCGCTCTCATGGAAGGACCTTCCCCTGGTCCCCATCCCACAGACTGCTCAGTGCTATGGGTTCCCTTGGACCAGTTTGGAAGCAGCTCTAGGCAACATTTCCATTAGCCGAGTACAATTTCAGCACCTTGAGTGCTGTATTATTCATTCTTTGAAAAGGAATAATAGGGAGAAAATTATGAATAGGGGAAAACAGCATGAACTGTTCTTGGAGCTTTTGGTAACATGTCCTCTTTGCAACTGAATGCAAACATAAAGACTTTATAGTGTAAAAGCAAGGTCTAGTCACACCCCTAACGCTGGTATTTCTTTTTCTTACTCTGGATGCAAATAGTTAACAGCACTTTTGTTCAGAGAATGTAAGTGACTCTTGCCAAAGCTCTGAGGTGTGGAGGTGGTAAGATGAATGCATAGCAACACATACTCTGCAAACACAAATACAGCTGGTGAAAGGATTAATCCAGCGAGGCAGGAAGTTAGAACACTTGTCACAATAAAAATGGCTACACAGAGCTAGAAACTGGAGTGATGAACAGGGCAGGAATCAAAGGATGGAGTAGACTGTCAAGGCCCATGAGTCTTGTCCTCTGTGTTGTACGTCTCTCCTACTACATTCCACAACCCTTTCACAGACGGAATATGGAAGCAATGTAGTGATAGTATGGGATGTGACAGCAGGCTGGCTAAGTTGTCCCTTTTTGCATGCAAACCTAAACTGTTCTCTAGACTTGCTCAGAAACTTTCCTCCGGTTCACCCAGCTGTAAATGACTATCTGAGCTRGATGTGTAAGAACAAGAGATGAAGCTGAAGATGCCCACACCAAGTAGCTTTGAAGATCAGATGTGCTCTGGCCAATCAGATAATTTAGAGCATATGAAGAAACTATTGCTCAAGCTTTCCATTTGCATTTCATATTACTGCGCACAGAGCAATACATAGCATGTGATATTACTGGATAGAGTAAATTGGATGGAAAGCCAGTAACAAGGGATTGCAGGAAATTTTAAAAATCTAGAGAAAAAAGGACTGTGTAAAATGAAAAATAACAATGAAAAATAACAATGAACAGAAGAAAAAAACAATGACAGAATAAATGAATGAAGAGGCAAAACAAAACTGTTATATAAAGTGGAAAAGAAAAATAAGTGATATAACCTTTTGCTTAGAGAATATAAGTATTTGGAGGATTGCAAACAAATGTTTGGACATCTCTCTATGAAAAGAAATATCTAGCATTCCTATGTGTTTAAAACACATTACTGTCACAGATCTGTTGATTTATAAAGTAAAAGTAGATAGAAAAGCATTTTATTTCTACTCTGGTTGCCTTACTAATGCACATCCATTGTGCATTAATAAGACACGATAAGTAAATAAATTTACAGAGAGATGAAGAGTAAGGAGATATTTGACAAGTCCTACCAGAATTGTCAAATGAAGATTAAATCACTGCGAAATGCTTCTGCTTCTCAAGGCTGAGAATGTGAAATTACCATCCATGGTCATGGAGCACAAGGACATGCTTGCATCCAGGGGGCTCCATGGATGGGGGACCTGCAGCCCTGCATGTAGGCACACACCATGAGTCTCATGTGTGCTGTGCCCGCTCGCAGTGCCAGACGCTGTGAACACACTAAGGGTTCCTGCCATTGCCTTCTCCAGACGCTCTCCTGGCTGGCTATTCTTGCCACTTTCCTGCACAGTTACACGGAAAAACAGTGATTCACCTCCGATAATCACAAATAAAATCTGGGGATTTTAAGGAAACAGATGTCCAGTGCAGGCTGCAAAATACAGAAAATGGAATGGAGGAAAGTAAAGGTAAAATAGGATGATAGATCAGCCTGCAGGGAAGGCAACCTGAAAAACATTGGCCACTTAGGGGACAAATAGAGAAAGCACCAAGGAACTTTTAAGCAATGGGTTTAAAGGACAAGCAATAATGCAGAAGGAAAGAGAGTGCGACATAGCTAGAGGAAATAATAACTTGTCTTATAAACTGGTGATTTTTCTTTATGTTAGATCGGGAAACAGAAATTACTTATGCCTCTTGTAGTACATATAAAACTATGGGTGAAAGAAGAAAGTGAAGGCTGCAGTTTCTGACAAGCCAAGGACATACAGCCTTCAGTAAAATATATATTGCTGGTGACAGAATGAGGTTTTATAGAAATTATCAAGAATAGTAGGCAGAGGTTCTATATTGCCAGCAAAGCGTTGAAGAATACTTTTATCAAAACAAAGTTGTTTTCATTAGGGAGCTAGTTCTGGTAGTTTAATGAATGAGTCTGTATTAAAAGGACAAGGTATATTAGAATAATAAAATGCCTTTTCCTGGTAGTGCTCTTTGTCCACGTTTCAAAGTACATTAAAAACCTGAGACTATTATTTCCATTTTAAAGGTGAAAATGCTGAAACTTGTGGAGTTTCTGTGATTTGTTACAAGCCAGACAACATTAGCATGAAAATGAAGGCTAAAAAATAGAAACCAGAGCTCAGTTCTTCCTTTGACTCTCTGTAGCTAACTGAAAAGGGCAAGGCATGACTTAGGAGGGAACTAAAATCTACACAGCCAACAGAGAGAGGGCTACAGGCTCGAGGAATGGAGCCACAGAACTGCATTAATCTCATAAATCACAGCATCAGAGCAAGATGTGCCAGGAAGGCACCTCTGCAAACTGATGGCTGATTGTGATCTCCGTATCTTCAAGAGCTCTTGATGCCTCCTCAAGCCCCAGAGCAGCCCAGATTAAAGAGGACACAAAGCAGAGCTGAACTCCTCTTTCTCCTCCTCTTTCCCCCATACGGTTACATTGAATATCACGCTGAGCTGCTGTGCAGAGCAAAGCCTTGCCCACATGTCTAGTCCTTGCCCCATCTAAATCACTAGGATTTTTGTAATCAACTTAAAAATAGACCAGGAATTCTCATTGCCTTCCACTGCCTTGTCCCTGTGCCATGGTAGAAATGCCTTTCTGCGAGAGAATGCTCCCTTCTAGGAATGAGAAAAAAATTGTTTGGTGGGATTGGACAGCCTGGAAGGGGAACAAGGGGAATTATAAGATTAATTGCAATAATACAGACTCTGATGGTGACATTTGGTAGACACGTACAAGGGGCAGCATCTTCTTTTCAAATATGGAAAGCGAGAAAACACAATTCAAGGAGAAATCCTTTTGGGACCTCATGAACAAGCTACACTACCTGTCTGGGGCTTTTCCCCTCTGGAATCCCACGCTCCTATTTCTCTGGTTTCCACGTGGGTGTGATCAGATGGAAAATAGAGGGAAGTTTCTCGTCTTTTTGAACCTTTAAAGTCCAACATATCCCCTGAACTTTGAAACTGCAAGCGGAGGTTTCTACACAAGACCTCTATTGAAATCAGCAGCAGGCACTGCACACAAAACTCCCACTCAGCAGCAAGCATGCC